CTGATGCCTATAAATCTGTATCACCAAATTAAATCTGCTGTATTTTGTATAAATATACTCTGTGTTCACTGATATCATTGCTTTCTCTGACCTTCCCCCTTTCCCTTCTCCCTCTTATGCTAGGGAAGGAAGGTTTTGGATAAATTGCATGAGCTACAGATACATTTTACAGTCTTGAAAGGACTTACAGGTGCAGAGAGGTTAGCATCAAGATGTCAAATTGTTAATAAAGCTGCAGAAATTTTTCTTAAAACTGGAAGTTTGGATGGAGCTACATGGGTATTGAAAGGTAAGCTTGTCTTATAAAAAACTAAGTTTTGACTTAAATTTGAACAGTCCCCTTCAACAGATTCCAGATAAAAGTTACAAGCTGGTCTATGTTATTAAATAAAGTTAATAATACTGGGACAACAAAAATAAAATGTAATCCATCTTACTGGTTAGTATTCTTCTTGATATGTATAAGATATATTATGACTAATAGCCAAATTTTTTCAGAAGAGTTTTCACAGTAGTCTGCCATCAACACCATTCTACTCAAAAGCCTACCATAATAAGGGAGGGGTGCAGCTTGGAAAGTGACCCTGCCCCATGTACATTTCCTTTGAGCCAGGTGACATGCAGTGTCAAAAAATTTTCAGGCTTGGGTCAATACAGTGTTTCTTTACCCCTCACAGTATCCACATTTAGTAAAATAGCTTTACAATAGTACCATATTTCTGCAATTAAATACTGCATAGTTACTGGCTTTTTGGAATTCTGATCTGCTGAAAAGAGAAGAAACTCAGAAGTAGAAACAAAAATAGAAGGTGTTCTGTAAAGTAATATTGAGGATCTAAAATTTGCTATTCAGTTTTACATATGTACATAGGTATATACATATTTATATACATATTTATATACATATATATTTATATATGCCACTGACAGTCCATTTTACTACGATGATAATTTAATAAAAGGCTTTATTTACAATATAAAGGTTCAGAGAATCCATCTGAGAAGTACTGGTGATAAGGAATGAATTATTAATAACTAAAACTGCATTTTCTGTGAAATTCTGAAATTTGTTTTCTGCTACAGTTTACATTATATTCTTAATGGCCAAAAGTCTCAGCATCCAGCAGTTTCAATTCATAGAAATAACACTGCACTGTTGTTTGCCACAGAGTCAGATTGGACCACAAACGCACCATTGTGGCCCTGTGATAAAATGGACATCCTCAGTCGACATAATCTGTTATGTACACTAGTGCACAAATACTTGAGGAAGAGTTTATACAGGCAGGCATTTGAAGTTCTGCAGAACTTACCAGGTTTTCAAAATCATTCTGGTAAGTAAAGAAAAAGGTACTGTGTTAAGAGCTAAAAATTTAACAGATGATTCTGTACTGTTCTTTTTTGTTTGTTTTCCGGCTAAAATTTGTTGAAGAAGTAAGATGGTTTTAGACAAGCCCATTTTTTTTTTCCAAAGAGTGTAGTATCAGTTAAAATATGTATTGTACTCTGCAGCTCTTGCTGCACGCATGCTGAGTTCGTACACCTGCCCTCTTTTTCCAGTTGGCTCAGTTACAGGGCAACAGGAAAGACTCACCAAATTTTTAAGGATCTTACACAGTCTATACAATAAGATAAGATAGGGATATCATTGGGGTGATTCATTTTATCCTAGCTTCAGATGAATGCATTGGTTTTTTCCATAACTGAGCTAGCTAACCTAGGCTTCTTTTACATACCATGTTAAGAACTGAGTGCTCTTTTGGGCTCAATTTATCTGAGAAATTTTGGATGTGGACTTCAAGATGAGATGCATAGTTACTTAGGCTCCACTGAGGAGGAGACCTGAGCTGATTCCTGTGTGTAGGTCTCGGTATTGCCAATGTGTGCTTCTAGGTATGTTAGGAGAGCTTAGCTGGAAGACCATCTACTTAGAGAATCCTAAAAGGATCTAGTCCTTTGAGGCATGAGGTGAATACAAGGCTGCTCAGTCCTTGAGCAGGGGGACAGTTGAGAGGAAGCGGACAGTTCAGAGTAAGAGTAGAAGCAGAACTTGAAGCACCAAGGTGATTTTTATTGGTGCAAATTTTAAGTCTGAGAGATCAGGTGAAGATTGTATTTATAGGCTTGGGCAAGTGAATATATTTTTATCTGATCCTCTTGGTTTTGGCAGCAAATTATTACTTGGACCTTAACACTTCTCTTTCACAATGTGAATGAACTAACTGTATGAAAAGACTTTTGATGAATAAAGCATTATCATAAGTTATCTCAACCTTGTTCCATTTTGCTGATAGAAGCAAGAGTCCTGATTTAGGTACTGATTGAGAAGCGATTCTTCAATTAGATTTGCATTTGACTTAATTCGGTAGTTAATATTCTTCATTTCATTTCAGATACTGTAGATGTTTCTCAGTACAGCTGCCTTTTTAACAAGCTGATAAATGCCTGTTTTGAGAGCAAGAACCTTGGGGTCTCATCTTCTGCAGTAGACTTCATGCTTTCAAAAAACATAGCTATTGATTTTTTTTTACTTAGAGGATTAATCACAGCTTTGGGAAGAAGTTCTTTGTGGTCTAAAGCTAGGACCTATTACAAAAGTAAGTTGCTTCTTCAACAATATCTTTCCCTTATGTTCTTTGGATAAACATATGCTCATAACAGCTCAGTATGTTGGGGAGAAATGGGTAAGAGTATACTTTGTAAGAAGAAAACAGTACTTCCTGTGTCACTATCAGGAATTTATTTGTAACCAAAATATTTATTGGGAAACAGTGACAGTCGAAAATATGAATCAGTGCATACTACCTGGCATGAAATAAATGTAATTCTGATAAAATTAATTTTTTACATTCAGTTTCAGAATTTCAAAAATGTGAACCGTGAAATGGTTAAAAAGTGCATCATCTTCACTTTTTAATCTAGGCAAATTAGATTTCTTTATACTTCTGTTTAGAGCTGTGGTGGTAAAATTATTAATGTTTAAGATTTGAGAGGTCTGGCTAAGAAGTTTATCCTAACTAAAAGAAAATTCCTTTCAACTAAAAGCTAACAGTCTGTGACTGTTTTCAACTCCCCACTTCTGAGCTAGGATAATACTGGGTGTGCCATTCTGATAGGGTCCACCAAGAGCCATCTCTCCATATTGGCACGTTATTTACTGTTTGGTTCCGTCTTAGAATTGTGGCGGTTAGCAAGCTACTTAAGCAGTCCATCCCTCCCGGGATGGATACTTGGCTTTGCTGAGATTGAAATGATTGTTTTTCCTCACCTCTTTTTTTTTTTTCTTAAATGCTATATAGGTTGGGTCTCTGGGATCACTTGGCAGAGGACAGGGGAGCAAAGGGGGAGATGCTGTTCCAATGTCCTCTCACTGTGATCATAGTTAATAAAGCTTCTGTCTGACCTGTTCTAAATTGTACTTGGGTTATTATGCACTTGGGGTCCCTGGATTTCTGACAGAGCTTTTTAATCATCGCTGATAATATTAATTGATAAAAATAACATTTTACAACAGTGAATATTATGAGGGAATACTATTTGCTGTGTTCTCAAATCAGGCCACTTCACAGGTGAAATAGTAAAATCCATTAAGAGTTTGGGGTTTTTTTTTCCACATTCTTAGCCACATACTGAAGAAAACAGATCTATGTTCAGTATCGGTAATCCTAATTCCTTATGTTTCTGCATTTACTCTCAGGTGCTTTATCATTGGGTTGCTACCCACCACTGCAGGGAAATTTATATCACAAGCTTTTGATGATTCCGTCTTACCTGTCTGAGGTTGAGATGCTGTTGGCCATTGAAATATTTCTTGTTTCAAATGCCAGTGATATTCAAAGCCCAATGGCTACTAGTCAGACTCTTCAAGTAATACTGAAAAGGTTTGCTGTCAGATATGTACCATTTTGATTGTATTTATCCGTGTGATCATGTAATTAATGACAGATCCTATTTTCCATTGGCTGGGAAAGAGAATGCTTAGTTTTAAACTTGTGTTTAATCGTTGTTTCTAAACTGGTTATAGAACAGTAAATGTTTGGGGGGTTTTTTAATTATTTTTAGTTTTACATGTGTGTAGCAGAAAAGTAATTGTTCCAGAGTGATACTGGCCTGTGTTCCCTAACTGAATGTGTCTACCACACTAAGAGTGTACTCTGTTTTCAAAAACAGGATAGCTTGATATCTTGGTGTATAGATTCTTGTGTTGTGGTTAAACAGTGGAGTAGAAGGGCACAGCCAAAACGTTACTCCTTTCAAAAAGCAACTCTAACATTTCTTGGCTGTTTTTTGGAAAGTGCATGAAGCCATTTTAGTTGATTTTCTTTATAGGGGATATCTCAGTATTAAATCTGTTAGGTTTTTTTTCCCCTTTCTGTGAGACTTAATATCTTCAGATAAAAATGTGTTTTGTTGTTTTTTCCTTTTGTCCATAAACCACCAACCACTGTCACTAGATTATATACTTATAATTTATTTTTCAAGACCCTATTTTCTCTGAGATTGACTGGCTCAGCATCAAGATGTGAAACTGCATAGAAAAGCTACATTTGTTAAGAAGGATGAACAGGGGCACCTCAAACTTGAGTACTCTGTCTTCCTTCCTCTCTACCCTTCCCAAGGAATACATCTCTTATTTTGTTCTTTTGATACATGAGAAGTTTTTTCTCTCTTGTTTTCATGTGTATGTTATTGTACCTCTGCTTGTTTGCTTAAGTTCTGCGTAAGTTGCTTAAGTTAAGCGTAAGTTCTGCTCTTGCAAAAACGTAGGCATGTCACTTAGGCATATCCTTATTCCAAAAGTGATTACATGCCAAAAATGAGTAATCCTTTTGGATTCAAGCATGCATACATGAATTCGTGCTATATCCAGTTCATAAAATGGTTTACATTCCTTTACTGAAGTTTCCAGCCAGAGTCAAACATTTTTTCATGTAACGTGCTGTGAATATTGCAGACCTACTTTGCACTGGCATTAAATCCTATTACTTTTCATTACTGTAAAATATGTTAAAAAGATACTTTTTCTAAGTTTTTAATTCTTCAGAATAATCAGCTAAAATTTGTCAAGAAATTAACATAATCTGTTATAAGTGAAGTGAACACAAGGCACTATTTTAATGTTTTTGTAATCTTGTTGCTAGTATAAAGCATCAGGCAAGTGACACAGGGCCTGTATGGTACCTAATTTTGTATTTGTGAAAATTCACTTACAGATGTGAAGATCAGACAGTTCAGAATAACAGGGACTATCAAGCAGCAGTGGAGAGACTGATCCTGGCTGCTCGTGTATCTGATCCAAAGCTTTTTCTTAAGCATATGACAATGAATGTTAATATGGAAGAAGTTTACAGCTTGGAGCTTACATCTGCTCTAAAATGGCTTCAGGAGAATATGAAATGGGCTGGGAAGGTCTGGCTGTTTCAGTAGTCATTAAATAGTAAAGACTTTTGGTTTTTAATGGTTAAAGCAATCATTGTTGAAAACAATACAAATTAATAAAGGCAGTTCCCACCGTGTTCAGACTGTGCCTTACTGATTTACAGCAAGGCTTCAAACTCAAGTTGTGTTTTTAAATACTTATATTGATGATAATGCAGATAGTAGCACAGAAAGAGTAATTTTCTCCCTAACTATATAGATTGTCACACTGACTTACATACATGTTTTGTAATGGCATCATTAGATAATGAGGAAGCTGCAGCCTCAGAACCTGCATTCTCCTTTTTTACAGAGAATCTAGCACTGTTACTCTTCTCCCAGCAGGTGATAGTATGTAAGTGCATTGATTGAGTGTATCTACTGTTCTTAAGTGAGACGTTTTCCACATTGGTTCACAGTCTGTAGAAGTAATACACGTTTCCTTTTGTCTTCCTCACAGTATCTTGTGAGGATATTGTCCCATCTGTGTGCCCCTTAGATCTTAATTTCCTTACTCCAAAAACCCAGTAAAAAGCACTGAGGATAAAATAACTTCAAAAACATTTGAGACATGCCTGACTTAGGATACCTTCCTTCACAGAACTGAGAGAGCCTACACAAGTTGCTCACAGCTGAAGGTTTAGTTGTGTCTTGATAATAACTTGTATATGGCTTCACATTTGTGTATATGCATACTTCCACTGAAAAGGAAAACTTGCTTTCTCCCTTGATTGTGCTCTTAGAGGGAAGTGGTTTTGTCCATTTTTTAGTTTCTGCCAACTGCATGATGAGATGGAGGCTTCTAGCAAGCTGGTTCTAGCATTCTTGGTTCTTCAGGAATTCTTCTTTTTTCCACCTGCAAATCCTGAATCAGATTCGGAGCATGAATTGCTTAAGTCACACTTCATCTACTGATCTGCAGCCTGAGTAAGAAGAACCAAACATTTCATATCAGAAAACTCTTTGTGGCAAATCAATGGGACCTCTGTCAAAGTTGATACTTGCCTGAGCTCCCCACTTCTGTAGTGTTAGTTTAGATCTCCAGTACCAACCTTCACAAACATGCCAACAATATAGCTCTTCTGGTCCTGCTCTCCATCCCCTTTAGAGCTTTTTGCGCTGAAAATTACTGGTCTCTTGGGTATAGAAGTTCATGGGGTTTTTAAGGGTGTTCCATCATAAGTGAGATCAAGATGGTGGCATGAGCCCTCAACGTTTGAAAAATCTTTCCCTCCTTTGGGGCAGCATGAGTCTCTTCCCAATTCCAGCAGCATTATTGCTGGAATATTGCTGGTCCTTTGCGCCTCTGAATTATGAAAGCCATCGTGATCTTGGCGCTGGATGGTTGGGGGGGGTATGGAGGGGTATCAGTGTTTTTTTGTTTGGGGAGGTTGCCACCCTAGTCTTGAGGTTCATGCCATTAATCTGATGTCATTAATCTGACCAACAGTTGTTAGATTCCTGACCCTCTTCAGGGTCAGGTCCTGACCCTTTTCAATACCACTGCTCCTCCAGTCTGTCTGGGAGTTGCTACTGGAAGAGAGAGGATTGAATCTGATGACTGCCAAGATCACTGCCTTCCTCCTGTGCCACCTGTACAGAAAAATGCAAGGATAGAGGCTCTTGTGTTTTCACAGGGTATCATTCTTCTGTAGGGATCTCGTCTGCTTTCCTTCTAAAAAATGGTAGATTCAGCACTAACAATAAGATGGCATTTCTTTAAAAGCCCCTTACCTCAAAATTTCTCTTGAAGAACAGTTGGCACTAGTTCGAACAGACTTTGCGTTCCACCACTTGGTGTTCACCAAGATGGCTCTGCCATTTGTAAGGCTATCCAGCTGGTCAAATCCAGTAGCATTCTGCTGCTTTTGTTTCCCAGTAGCTGAAAGACTGGATAAGAAGTGATCAGGTTTCAGATGACGGATCTAAACTGATGTTCTTCCACCCACTCCAGCATTAGTGGCAAGAGCCATTTTGGAAGGTTTCAACAAACTAAAACTGGCAGTGAGAAACTAAGTCGTTTTTGCTAATTACTTTCTGTAAGATCCTTTGTAGCTTAATCTCCCTTGGAATTAGACAGAGGCTATCTGAACCTCAGCTAAATCCCGTATTTCTGTAAGCGGTACCAGATGTGGCTAATACTGTGTTTGAGAGACGCAGAAGGACAAAATTCTCTTAATAATCTGTATGGCTTCAAAGCTTGGGATGTTCTAGAGACAGCATTATTTTTTCCATTATCGGCAACCTTGAATTTTCACTTAGATCATCTCCCGAAAAAAATTCCAAATGTTGCTTTATTTTTCAGACAGAGGTTAATCATTGACCTTCTAGCTTAACTTGGAACTGTATAAAATTTGTGCAATGTTTTGGTTCCCTCTCCCGAGTATCATCTTCAGCTGATAGGATGCAATCTCAGTCATGGTTTATATTAACAAGCAAAGCAAGCTCCCCACATTATCGCTCAGAAGTTTTGTTACAACTGGTACATCTGGTGTTCCTGTCAATATAGTTTTTCTCCCTATCACCATGATAAACCAGTAGGCAATTTAAACAACTTTACTGTTAAATCCTGTATTTCACATTTTTGTACTGTCTGGGTAGAATTGTCTTTAAGTGCCATATAAATCTGGTCATTTTGATGTGTATCAAAAGGCCAGAAAGGTTTCTTGAGCAACATTCTCAGTACCATTTTGGTGACAGAAATTCCATGTGCTAAACATGACAAAACTCCAACGTGGAATGGAAACGAGCCTGGAAAGATGAAAAAATACTCCAAAGAATAAAGTTAAGTACAATAGAGACAATGCCATTTAGCGGAGCCAGCCACTCAGTAGACAATACCCATATTTTTGCTTTTCCCCAGGTGTAAGTTACTGTTTCTTAGTAGCTGAAAGAACTTCTGTGTTTGAGATTAAGGAACTCGTTTGATATATTCAATTTTTCATATAGGAAATAAAAATGTTTGCTTACCTGTTTGCAGAGAGACAGAAGAATGTGCAAAAAAACCTTTCCTGTGCTGCGCTCAGTAGCTAGGTCTAGACAATGCTGTGCTCCTTCAGTATGTTGTTAGATGCGTGAGAAATTCCCTTTGTGAAAATCTTTCTTCAATTTTCACCAATTACAAGGTATGCTTTTGGAGAGATTACTTTTGTTAGGTATGGACAGTTTTCTTGTAACTAAAACAGAATAATGTTGTTTGGAAGACTTACCACAATTTTATTTCAAAGCATTGATAGTTTTGAGAGTTTCTTAACCCACGTCGGGGATGGAAGTGAAAAGCTGGAAATAGAAGCTTGATAGTTTTACGATGTTTTATAAAAAGCAATTGGGGGGATCATTTTGGAGGAGTTGTTAAGATGTTAATAAACGTTTTTTATTCTTTATATGAAGTATCCAAAGTATCTGTGAGTCAGTATTGTCATTAAATTATTTAATTCTGTTCAGATCCCTGTAATTAATATTCTTAGGTATGCAGGAGGATAGGCAAATGGCAAAGTAGACGTGGAGAGTTTAATATCTCGTAACTACCACAAGAATCTGGAGTCTGATATGCTGCATGAGGAGGTTAAGAATGTGTGAAATCAGCCAGACTATGCGGTTTTTCACCACGCCATAGCACGTAATGTAGCAAATGCTCATGAATAAATTGGGCTGAAACTCCCAGCTGTGGACATGGCCAGCTTCCAGTTTTCGACTACAGACTGGAGTGGAGGCTACAGCTCAGGCCTATGGGCTGTGCTCAGTTCGCTGAAGAATTCTAATGGATGTTAGTGAGAGTTTCACATGAGGAGAAATAGTAAAATTACATGTCCCAGGTGTAGCAATCGAACTTTTAATTACCAAAATCTTAATGCCATACTCCTCAGGTTAGTAAAATACAGCCACATTAAAAGCAATTACTAGTTCACATTTTTGTCCTTTCACATTCTCCAGATGCATCTTGCATCTTTGCAGGGTTTGGGTTTTTTTTTTTTGCAAATCCCAGGTCTACATTTTTCAGTCTTAACCCCTTCTGCATAACTCTTTCCTAAAATGACTAGTATGATGACTGGTATAAAAAAATGAATGCTGACATTATTGGCCTCAGAGCTTCTGTGCCATTGCATGTGATGGGACTGGAGAAACTGATGCCACCTTTTGACCATCTGCAAACAGAGGACCAGGACAGAAACAAAGGAGCAAGGAGAAAACGGCTCAGTTGCCACTTGTAGCAACTTTATCGTGGTGCTTAAAATTCTCCTTCTGTTAGGGGACAAGAGGTAGTCAAAATACAGACTTCTTCAGATGTTAATTTTATCTGGTATAACCCAAGCTTTCCGTTCGGAAATGTCTGTGCCGCTCTTGCTGAGCCAGCGGGATGTATCCTGGGAACTGATGGAGAATAACGAGACCAGATAAAGCCACAATACTACTGCCGTGGAATATTGCGGTGATATTCATAAGCAGTAAGTGTTGAGACCTTAAGCTAAAAAGTAGGAATTCATCCCTGTGCTCGGGGGGTGGGCTGCTCTGGCTCCGCTTGAAAATGGGTACCCTACACAATGGAGCTGGTATCTGGCAGTGTCACCTGCTGATTACCTCTCCCGATTTATTTTATTCCTCGCTGAGTTAAAAGAAATCCTGGGTGAAATGAACAGCGCACTTTTCTGTTGAATCAATTAAATTTATTTTCCCATCTGCATAATTATGCAATCAATTTGCTTACATAACTGATGGCTTCTATCGGGAGGCAAAAAACGTGCTGCACGTTACGGAAATTGCGCAAATCCCCCAAGGGCTGTGAGAGTGCTAACTTGATTTAAAACTTCACTGAACTACAGATAGTTCCTAAACTTTGTCAGTCCTCTTTTTAACCTTTTCTGCCTGGAAATGCAATAGATTCTATGCAAATAACACCAATCCCTAACAGTTGATCTCTCTCTCTTCTGAAACTCGTCGGCAATAGACGTCTTTGCTCTGAGGTTGCACGTCTCTGCATCGGCTGCTTCTTGACCCCAACCACCTTGGAAGAAAAATAGAGCTATAAACGTACGTCTACATCAAGCATTAGTAATTGCGGGAAAATAGCTTTTGCTTTTCCCCTGGGGACTGCAGAGCTCAGGGTTGGTTCTTCGCCCACTTGGCATTTTCTTTCTGTGGAACACAGGAAATGCGAAGCGCAGGCGGGTACCTGGGTAACCCCTTCCCAGCGATTTCTTGTGTCAGGGGTTTCCCTCCTGTGTCCCCAGGTGACAACTGTGGACATACTCTACTCTGAGAAGCAGGAGTCACTGAAGGGAGAAGGGACCGCTGCTCTGCATCTCGCGTTACAGCTCCTGGAGAAACGGCTGCCATGTCGCCGTGCAGATTTACAGGATGGGGTGCAGTTTGTGACCGAGGGCAGCAGCAACACCTAAAGCGTGAAATCAGCGGCTATTGAGTGTTTCTTTCACCTAATCCTCCGCCTCCGACGCCGTTTGCGCCCCCCGCCCAGAGTGCTCCGGGGCGGGAAAGCCCTCGGCGGCCCTGAGGGACGGCCCGCGCGCGGCTGACGGCG